TGAAACATAGCAAACTAATTTGCAAATAAACCAAGGCAAATACTTCCACCCCAACACCATCTCAGTGAGGTGCTTTATCTCACGTCTGTGTAGCCAAGGAAAATACTATGACACTTCAAAAAATGGAGTAACAAGCATCACAGTCATTCGGTTATTAATTGTTTTTAAGGCAAAAACTATATATAAACGACACGGTAACAATCATCACAACAATTTCATTGATAACTTCAGTTACATTCCACAGTTGTACAATAACAAAGACCTCTCGAAGATTACTAGGTGTACATTAACAAAGACCTATCAAGTACAAGTACATCCCATAGTCGAGTCTGGAGACAGGTAGTGCAAGCTAAGGATGAGGCAGCACCTCGCAAAACTTCCACTAGCATCTCAAAGAAGGAAACTATTTTTTGTCCACCTTTCTTGTCTAGTAACTTCCTTGTCGATTAGGATATGGTGGTGCTCACGTTTTGATTCCTCAGACTGAACAGCAGGCTTGGAAATGCGAACAGAGAGCTATTCAAGAAAGTGAAAGAAAAGGTGAGGTGAAACTTCCACTAGCATCTGCACCTCTCATGATCGAGAGAGAGAGAGAGAGCAAGAAGAAACTTGTGAGAGAGATAATATATGGGTGGGTTGAGAGAATGCTACAAAGATCCTTACAGCCGGTCTCTAAGTGAACCCCCTTAATCGCAAAACTTCCACTAGCACCTAGATCGAGCAGCCCCCGCTGCGCTAGATGCCGTTAGTACCCAATCTTGAAGGCCTTCTCCCAATGTAGCTGCTGCTGCTGGAAGAGTTGGGGAAGGAGAGCCATGGCGATGAAAAAAATATAGATGATTGGCTCAAGAGCTTTTTCTGTATCTATCTGTATCTAAGGAGGAAGGAGTATGTGGATTGCCAAGAAGCGCATTCAGCCCCAGCTTAAATACGCCAACCTTGAAGAAGGAAGCGGAGAGGAGCAGTTAATGGTGATGCAACTGTGTCGTGGGTAGTTGAAAAATGGAGAAATAACTCACGCCGAATTTACTACCGTCGGTGCACCAAACGGTCGTGTAGGGCCGACGCCATAACGCCTATCCCAGTCGGCTCAGCTTTTCATGCGGCGGAGACAATACCACTGCCGCATCTATTGTTAACCCGTCGGTGGTATAAGTTTGAACTGTCGGTTTCCTTCGTAGGAGGCCTAGCTATCGGTCCAACCGGCGGTGGAAGTATAACACCGTCGCATCTATCGCTACGGCAGTGAAAGCGGCGATAGTGATAAATCAATCTGTAGTAGTGAGTGCCCTAACTGATCTTGAAACCTGTGGTGCGTCACACAACTTGCATCACAGCCAGGACCATCGATCTGCACAATGTTTTAGGTTTATTAAGTTCTCCTTAATTTTATCTCGTAACGAGATAAGACCGATGCACTCAAGTCACTGGGTGTCATCACTATGTAATTAAGCAATGGGTGCCATCACGATGTAATTAACCAACTTACAAGGAATTTATGTTTCGTTACATTGGTATTGTTACATTAGCTAGTATCGCTGTGCAAGCATTTTCTTCACAATATTATCAGACGGCTATCTGAGACAATCTCGGCCTGACCTATCCAACTACCGTGAGTCGACGCTTAGGGTATCCCCAATGGTTATGAGATAGCTAGTCTAAGAAGAATTCTATTAGCTATCAAGGAAAGAGACGAAATAGCTAGCGACTCTCAAATAGCTAGTATAGCACGATCTTCTAAAAACCCTCCACTACAATGTTCATTTTTTATTATTTTCAAGCCTCATCTGGCTAGCTGTTTGCAAATTGCCATTGAGGGTGTCCTAGTTCAAGCCTTCAAGGATTGTTTTGCTACTAATACGGCTTACATTGTACTAATTAATTAACCTTAGGAGTCGTCTTTCTTATCGAGATTGCCAGGCACACATTATAGGAGTAGTTCTTAAGCGCCCATGCCTGAATTTGTCAAAGTCGTTGCCCAAACCTCGAGGTCACCTCTGCGATGTCGACCACACACTGCGAGAACAGAATCGTTTGGGTGATCAGGGAATGACTGTGTTGATCTTCAAACATGCATGCATCCAGTCCGTTAAGACTTCATGGATGTAGGTCGTCGTTTACTAATACTGTTTGTATAATGCTAGTGCCTGATACAAAAGATATATAAACCCTGTGTTACATTACTATGGGTGATCTTATCTTTCGGCTGTCGTGTCACCAGCTGTGCATGTTTCACAGTGCTGGAGAGAATGGTAAAATGCATAGTCATGAGGATCATGCAAATTTGAGTTTATTGTAGTACGAATGTTTTTTTGCAGGTTTTTTTGGACCGTAACGATTCATCCCAAGCAAAAGCCAAGAAAAAGCAAAAAAAAATCCTTGTGAAAGTAAAAAAAAATCACTCGATCTTTTGTTTGTTCTCAGGTAGGGTCAAATGGAGTGTACTCCCTCCCTCCGTCCCATTTTAACTGTCATTGTCGCTTTCCGAGAAGTCACATGTACTCAACCTTAACCAAATATATATGAGAAAAGAGCTTTGCTATGGTACACCCATTACCTTATAAGAGGTAAGATCTTGAATGAATCTGAGCCCTTGATTTTGAAAATGCATACCACATTTAAATAAATAATAATTAACTAAAATATTTAGAAAAAATAAAAAGAAAAGGCAGGAAATCTCAGCCCGTCCTTCAGCATTATTGGCCTCCTTCCTTATCCCTGTGTTGACTAGTGAGGAAACAAGAAAATCTATATACATGCTGCTAGTAGTCGATATCACATACTACGCAACTAGCGCCCAGACGTCCGGACGCTGCTCGGGACCATCCAATTGAGATAATAGGAGTCGTCCAAATCTCATCGAATAAAGCAACGACAGAAATAAAGTGAACATATCCGATGCAATAGAACGAGTGCGCCCCCGCGTGTGGCATGTCCCCCACTGCGCCACCGTGCCTCGTCGCGTCGCCATCCCCCACCGTGCCGCCACCCCCTGCGCGCCCGTTGCCCTCTACGCCCCCATCCCCACCTTGCTTCATCACCCAAATGTCCAATGAGAAATTTTCCATCGGAAGATCTGTTGCAACACGGAGCAATGTGAGATGCAACATCAGAAGTATTACTTGTTTGCAACATCAAAAAAAGTCTCTTGTAACATCAGAACAAGGTTACTGCAACAACAGAACAAAGCTACTGCAATGCGAGATGCAAGATCAGAAAAAAGAGACTAATGCAACAAAGAAATATTACTTGTTGCAACATCACAACAAGGCTACTGCAACAACAGAACAAAGCGCAATGTGAGAAGAAACATCAGAAAAAAAAACAGATGCAACAAAGAAATATTACTTGTTGCAATATCAGAACAAGGCTAATGCAACAACAGAACAAAGCGCAATGCGAGAAGCAACATCAGAAAAAGAGACTAATGCAACAAAATGAAATTACTTGTTGCAACATTAGAAGAAGGCTATGCGAGATGCAACATCAGAAACAAAAAAAAGAGACTAATGCAATAAAGAAATATTACTTGTTGCAACAGCAAACACAAGGCTAGTGCAACAGACCTCGCCGGAACCCTAGCTATCGCCGTGCCCCTCAAATCCAGAGGAGGAGGAGGAGGAGGAGGAGGAGGAGGAGCAGGAGGAGGTCTCAGATCTAGAGGAGGAGGAGGAGGAGGAGGAGGAGGAAAGGGGCTCAGCTCGTCGGAGCCGCCGCTGTCGTCCTCGTCTCCGGTGGGGGGAGGGAGCGAGCGAGGGAGGGAGGGAGGAAGCACAGGCGGAGGGATGGCAGGGAGCTATGGGGCACGGCGTCCGTCCCGGGAGCGCAAGCTGGCGCAGAGAGCGGCGTGGCGGAGTGACAACGAGTGGCGCGCGGGGGGAGCGGACTATGTCACAGGATGCCGGAGAAGCAACGAGTGGGCGTGGGGGAGCGGGGTGGGTCACGGGATGGGATAACGATGCCGATGGGATAAGGAGTGGGGATCACGGGGCCACGTCCGGACGGAAGTTGGGGCGGATGCCCGGTTCGTATCAATTTTGTATCACATATATTGCATTCTACCAACGAATTAGAATCTTCAAGCGTACTCTTTAAGAGTTAAGTACAAAGTACTGTTAATGTGATACTATAATGTTATACTCTTTAAGAGTTTAAGTACAAAGTACAAAGTACAAAGTACTGTTAGTCCCAAAAGATATGTAAACCCTGGGTTACATTACTATGGGTGATCCCGGTATCTTTTGATTGTCGTGTCACCAGCTGTGCATGCATCACAGCGCTGAGAGAATGGTCAAATACATAGTCATGAGGATCATGCATATTTGAGTTTACTGTAGTACGCATGTTTTTTACAAGTTTTTGGACCGTAACTATTCATCCCAAGCAAAAGCCAAGAAAAGGTAAAATAAATCCTTGCGAAAGTAAAAAAAATCACTCTTCCTTTTGTTCTGAGGCAGGGTCAAATGGAGTGTACTCCCTCCGCCCCCTTTTTTAACTGTCGTCTCGCTACCTTATATAAAACATAATTAGTAATAAAAGTACTAATGTGTGAAAGGTTTTAGTGCCTGGACAGTTTTGTCGCGTATATATATATAGCTGAAAGCTGGGTTTAGTACCAGTGCAAGTCCGAAAATCGGCAAAGAGCTAGTTTAGTTTCAATGGGCCTTCCAAACACCGATGATGAATGCTAAAACTTAATTTGCGCCATCCACAATCTATGGATGGAGATGAGACGTAGCTGGTCTGCCTAGTCATCTAAAGAGAGCGTAACAAGTACTACTTTGCAACTTGCATATACTTAATGTTCCAGTCAAGGAGCTCCATTAATTCCAGTGGATTTTAAAAGCTTCCACTTGGTCTCCTATTGAAATACTACTACCATTAACGTGTGCAAGCTATGAAAGTAAAGAGCCACTGCGTGGTCTCCAGCACTATAAATACCCATGCAGCATTCACTGGGAACTCATCTCAACTCAAACACTCTATAGTGGTGGCTCACAATGGCTGGCACAAAGCTAATATCACTAGGGCTCATTGTCCTCATGAGCATGGGATTAGCCAATGCTGTAAGGGTGGCTAGATACTCTAGTGCTGATGGGACCGGCACTGGAGAGGGAGGGGGCGGCGGATATGTGAATGGCGGTGGATTAGGGTCTGGGTCTGGCACCGGATCGGGTGATAGTGGTCCTTATGGTGCCCATGCAAGTGCTGGAGGGGGTGGTGCAGGTGGTGGAACTAGCCAATATGGTGGGTCCGGATATGGTTCAGGGTCAGGGTCAGGTTCAGGATCTAGTACATCTAGTCAAGGAGGGTATTCTGAATTTGGTCCTTATGGAGGAGAATCTTCTAATGCTGGTGGTGCCGGTGGTGGTGGGGGTGGAGGACAAGCTGGAGGTGCTTGGAATTCCAATGCTCAAGGATCCGGTAGCGGCACCGGTTCTGGCTCTAGTTATGCTAACAGGTATTGGGATGGTTCAAGTGATGCGGGTGCAAGTGCTAACGGCATTGGTAGTGGCACAGGAAATAGTGAGAATGGTGGTGGTGGCGGTGGTTCTGGTGCCGGAACTGGATATGGCAATGCCTACCCATAAATTCCATATAAGCCAATCTAAAGTTGGAGCCCATGGTCGTCCTTTTGTTAGTATTAAATTAATAAAGGGTCCAACTGTTCTAGCAACAGTAGCTGTCTTGTAATGTCCTTATATGAAGATGTTGTAACCATGTCTGTTTGTGAAAGGAAAAAATAACTTGTCCATCGCATGTGGCCACTATATCTAAAAAAATATTACGTTCTCTTTGGAGTGATTAAGTTGAGACGCCTACACCGTGCATGTTCACATGATTATCAAAATAGTATATACCGATGAACTAGCTAGAGTAGTTTATATCACTTACGACGATAACTCCATCTGGGTCAATCCAGCCTAGAACATAATTAGCAAGAACTGCTGCCACAAGCCCATTTATGTCAGTGATAACTTTTTTTTAAAAGTGATCCTGTGCATAGGGCTTCACCATTTCATCCTCTATCCTGGAACAAAACTTCTACAGCTGTACTTAATCAAACTGTCTTAAGTTTGCAAAAGGGTTGTAGCCTAGTGGTTATAAAATTAAAGCCTCAGTAGCACCTTAGATCCTGGGTTCCACTCCCCGTGGGAGCGAATATTTTAGGATTTAGCGGCGTTGTGCTTTTAGTAGTAGGCAACGTTCCCGTTGACAGCAAGGCACATGTAGTGACTTTGTCAATCTCGAGAATTTGCCAGCCCAATCTTCAAAGATGCTCATAAATGTAGGGTTTGCATGTGTGTGTTCATAGGGGTGAGTGTGCATGCCTTGTGAGTTTTTGAGTTATACTGCATAATCAGAAAAAAAAAAACCATCTTAAGTTTGACTAACTTTATATATAAAAGGAATAATATCATCTCTATGATACCAAACAAGGATATTATGAAAATATATTTCATGGTACGTATTTATAGTAATAATACTAATTTCTGTTATAAATATTAGTGCTCTTTTTAATACATACTATCAATTTCAAAATAGTTTGACTTAGAACAATACTAGAAATTGATTTCTTTTAGAATAGAAATAGTATGCAACATATTCCACTACAGTTAGCTTCTTCCTCTTGTCCACCGTTATGCACTACTCCGATATGCCCTCCCTCCCCAGCGACTGGCCGCCCCCTGTCCTGTTGCATCCATCTCCAATAGCTCACCTGCCTACCACTCTCCTACCACTCCACCCTCCATGCAAAATCCATAACACGGCAAAGCCTGCCTTAAATATCATATCGGTCAACTAAAGTATATTGTACATTGAACCTTGAATCAAATAGTAATTTAAAAATTAAAATTTTCTGAATTTTGTAGGAGTGGACGGACCCCAACAAAATTCACGAACCACATGCTAATATAAATACCCTAAGTATATATTACGTAGCAGGCTTTATGTTAATTAAGCATCTGTGTAGCAAAAAAGGCTCAAACAACGTAGCCTAGTTTGGTGGTCAATGTTTTCTGCATTCATTCATCGTGCTTCTTGGCTCTCGCAAATGGCTAATCAAGGAGACGGATACTTGATGTCCAGTTCTAATCAATTATTCGTCTTCCATCAGTGATCAGTTATATCATCGTACTTTTTAAACAATACATTATAGTTCGCATTACTACTATTGGTTTGTTCATGCATAATTTAGATCTCATTTAGAGTCTTGCTGGAGACCTCTATATTCTTCATGACCCATAGCAGATTTCGATCGGGGAGGGCAACGGAGTGGATGAGGTGGCTCGATTGCGCCCCATGCGTGGCTGCTCACCGGCACGACATTCTTGTCCCTCGATTGCTTGCCTTGTAGGAGGATCACAGAGAAGGGAGTGAAAGAGGCCATATCTGCCATCTTTAGGTCATTGTACTCATGTTGTTATTCACATATGGATCACGGAAGGATGTACTGTTTGGATCCCATGTCTGCTTGATTCGTAGAAGGCACCGAGTCTTTTGGAGGCCACCAAGGCGTGCAACACAAATAATGTATGGAATGATGGATACATATACTGCACATGTGTCGGTTGCAAAAGTCAGAAGTAGTTTCAAAACATGGAGCCAATTTGTTGTCATCTACTGCTTAAGGGGTTCATGGAAACTATGGTTTGGAATAAGCATGGAGAAGATGGTGACAACTTACTTCAAGAAGCATCTGTCGGGTGTTGGTTTGAGCCAGCAGCGATGCTAAGTTTCTGGATCCTAGGCTTATGACCCGCCAATGTTAAGTAACCACTGCGGCTCAAGCACAACTGGCAGTGATTGTGCATTCTGGCGTAGTGAGACAATGGTTGATATACAATATTGCCCTTAGAACAAATGTGCTTGTTGCTTGCATCACCCATAGAGGATGGCTTGTTTTGAGATTACACGGTACAATGTAGACACTCACAACGCATGCAAACTCACCCCTATGAACTCACGAATGCAAACTGGCGGGGCTATGATACCCCGTGTATCTCAAGACACCGATTAGTTAGTCACTCAAGCGGCCCACGGTACGCCAGCTAGTATAAGCCCAAACGATCGAGGCCAAACTGTGTGCCGCGCAATTCCTCATGACCTCTCCCCCATCCCGACCTCTAGAAGGGGCGGGGAGAGATCGAGCCCCGCCAAGCGTACCTACTCTGACAAGAGCACGCTCGCCACACTGACCATGCAAGGACCGAGGGGACAGCAGTCCCCTCAGCCTAGTTAGACGCCATCCCTGCGCCACGTAGCACAGACAAGACAACACTACCGAGCGGTGATGGCCTGACAAGATAGATGCACAACCCCACCCACTATGCGATGGGGGCCACGACGGCGGCCTTGACTTTTGAGGCCAACTAAGCCAACGAGGGCCATGACCCCGGAGCACGAGATCATGGCCGCCGGCACAATGACCAGCAAGACGATCAACGGCCTGGGGGCAGCCACCATCTCCTGTACGACACCTCTGGGAGATCAGGAGGCGATGATGAAGGCCACGATGAAACCATGTCGCGCAGGACGGCTAGCGAAACACCACCGTGCCAACAGTGCCACCACGACCGACATTGTAGCACCACGCCACACCATGCCGTGACGTGGGCACATGACCATGACGATAGCCACGCCCGGACATGCACCACAAGACGGCAGTACTTGCAAGCCAAATTAGCTAGGTTCCCTTCCTCAGGCTCATGACCCCTCGGTCAGGAGAACCTCCTTTGTATGTGACCTAGCCCTAGACTGTATATTAGGGCAACCCGGGCACCCTTCCTATCATCTTTGGACTCTGAGGCTTTCATTCAAGCAGTCCATCTTCTAGCTCTAGCTCTCCTACCTCTTCCTCCATTCTTGCACCCCTCCATTGTAAGAACTTTAGAGCATTCAAGCGAGGAACTTCTGAGACTAGACGTAGGGCTCCGGCCTGAACTAGTATAACTCCTTGTGTGTTTTGGATGCTACAATCGTCTTCCTAGAGCAGCACGACTTTGTATAAATTCACTAGTCGGTTTACAAAACACCGACAGTTGGCATGCCAGGTAGGGGACAGTTGCGCACTCTCGTTGTTGAGAAGGAAGCGATGGCTCCTCGCACTGTTGATGGACTCACCCGTGGAACGGCCCACGGTGGCCGTATCCATCACGGGAACCCCGAGTTCATCGGCGTCGAAGTGCCAGCGCCCACGTCCGTCTTCAGCAATTGTCAGGTCCTCCACCCTGGAGACCTAGACCCCGTGGCCCACAGTGGACACACTCTCAGAACGGCCCTCAGTGGCTGCATCCTAGAGTTCACCTACATAGGGGAGACAGTACCCTCTGTCATCACTCGCCATTGCCAGGTTTTCCACCTGAAAAACCTGAGGCCTATGGCTCATGGCGAGCTCACCCATGGAATGGCCCTCGGTGGCCACATCCTTTGGGGAAACAATGAGATCGTCCGTACCCATGGGCTAACACCCATCAAGGGCCTCTACCCCATCTAGGACCATCGTGCGACAAGCCTGGATCCTATGGTATAGTCATGTCCTGAGCAACACTGCCTCCAGTGGAACGTGGCTAATCAGGGCGCACACGAGCAACGAAGCCATCCGCCACCAAGCGGCGGCGTCACTAGTGAACAGGTGGCTATCCGGCACCATGCCTTGCAAGGCCAAGATTGGAACCAGGGTCAAATCCCATGTGACAGACTAACAGTCCGTCATGCCATTGTGAACTGTTAGCTTTTACAGGGAGACACGTGCATTCGAGGAAGCGGGCCCTCTGAGAGCATGACATGCCACATCACCCTTAGAACCCACTTCTGTTCACACCTGCTCCTCAACGAGAGCGGCAACGACACCCAGAAGTGGAGACATGACGACTACGACGTCGTCGTGCCATGATGACTCGTGCATCAGAACGCACAAGCCCTCCCAGCCACGGACTTCAATGAGCCAAACATGAAGAAGCCGTCCCCGGGGCCTCACTAGCCCGCTGAGTACGTGGAGCCCGACAAGGATTGACCCAAGGCTGCCCGAGAGGTCGACCCACACCGGCTACGACCATTCCAAGTGATAGGGAAGTGTCCACACCAGCTTGCGGTCAAGAAACCATAACAACTCCACCACGAGCACATGCTCGGGGGCTCAACGCACCCCGAGCAACGACGACCAGATCCACGATAGCTTTCGGTAACCACTTAGTCACGTCAACTCTATCCCTAGCTTCTCTACCTAAGCACGTTCACAAAAATGTGTAGGCTCACTCATAGTTATGAAAAACTTAGAGCCAAGTTGTAGAGTAGACCAGAGAACATGATACCCATACAGTCAATCCTAGCACCGTTTACCTATCTAGTGACCTAATCTGGCTCGCACCAGCAGTCGGACATGACTCACTCATGGGGCTAAACATATGGGCATGCACTTATGAGTTTCAAAAGAGCAGCATTGTTTGTCATCGTCCCAGCGACCCATTTCGAGTCCTTTCCGATCACGCCTCGCGCCATGATGAACTGGTGACCCGCTCCTTGAGCTCTCGTTCATACCAAAGAGGTCGCTTCGGCTAAGCCACATGGACCATCTCCGAGGCAAGGC